CATAGATTTTTTATCTTGACAAGAACTGATGCGATTCTATGTTGAAATTTACTATAAAAAAATCATAGCTAACAACGTGGAAGAACGAGAATCTTTTTGAGATCCGGCCGCATAACTTAAGATGAGTTACAATGTACTTTTTAAAGTAGCGAAGAAATTTTTTAAAATTTACTATGATTTTAATTTAGTTTCCCATGATTTTTTTAATAATGTTGCTAAGTCTCCGCCATGAATATTGCATTGAAGGCAAAAGAAAAGATGTCACTTTAACAATTCCGATGCAAGAGTATTCATTTGATTTCTTTCCGGCTGTCGCCAATCACCATTTATTATCTTTGCGAACAAGAGTTCCGGTAGTTTTGCCGCTTCTTCGCTGAAAAGATCTAGCGAAAAAATGGAAGTTTCGGCAAGACCCGATGCTCTGGCAAAGTTCTATGCCTTAGAATGGGTGAACAGCAAGATTGGATTCCGATATCAACGACCGGCGCTCTCAAGGTAGCTGTCACTTGCCCTCACACGTCGAATGTTCTTCCTTCGCACTGCAACCTGCCTTGTACCCTCGGTTCTTGAGCTCATCTAAACTCCTTCATTTAACGTTGTTTTATTCTCTATTCTTCTTCGTACCTCACTTTTTCTTGTACACATAACATTGTTATCTCGACCACCTTACTGTGTTCGTCCACATTGTTCCCTCGCCCAAACTAATCCAAAATGTAACTCAGTACTAACTGCAGTGAGTGACAGAGAGCGCATTTTCTCGTCGACGAAAACGTGGTCACGGACGGACAGACACACAGACAGACATGGCGAGCACAATAGTGCATTTTTCCATAAATGAAAAAATGCACTAAAAACTTAGAATGAAGTCATCGATAAAATTACCCGCATTACTATAATTAGGAATACTTGTCTCTTGTAGCGTAAAATTATTTAGTACTAACTCTCAAAGTAAGATTCTCACTCACGTCATTTCTTCTTTAGCTTGGTCCATTTTATATTCCAAGATTAATTAACAAAACCCTGCTGGAAATGTACAGCTAATATTTTCAATTGAAAAATCTCCTATTTCATATACGAGTAGTTCGGGTTTTCGAGTTATTCTTCACTAAATGCTTAAATTAGCGCTCTCGTACTTAATCGTATTTGCCTCAAGCGAAGTGAGCGCATTCTGCCTAGTGCATTACTGAAGCTCACTGAAAAATTCTACGATAAATATCCTCTTGTGAATTAATGCTCTGGAATATTTTTAGGAAGGTCAATCTGCCGCCTGTCAGTAGGTATAATAATTATGCAATTGGTGCTCTGTATAATAATCTAAAAAAATTATAAATCCATAAGCAGCATTATATTCACATCAGTAATTAACCTGCCAATGGCAGACGTGGATATCTAAGTCGCGATCGACAGAGCACTTATATGATCATCATTGATATCTTAAGATTATTGTCACCGTCGTGAAGACAAAGTTCGATTTATGATTGTCTTAGACCATTTATAATTTGAATATTCAATAACGGTGCTTGGCGGCTTGCAATTTTCAGCGTAAATTTTTTAGCAAGGCTATAATTTTAAGCTGCATCTGAGCTCCGTGTATTTTATTCCTCAAATTTCCATGGGTGAATTCAAATAAAAAATACCTGGGCATTGTTGTTTTTCAGCGGGCTGCAACTTCACGATTTGTTAGAGAGAATAATAACAATTAATCAATATTAATAGCAATTTCAATAACAACGTTTCTATTAATTGGTTAACTATATGAATGAGATTTTAATTGTAATCGAAACTTAAAATTCTTACCAATGCTGGGCTATAGTTTGAATTATGTATATAAAAAAGTAGCAATAATAAATCCCGACTATAAGACAAGCTATGAAATTCAAAGATGAATTAAAAATTTTTCCGTCATAGCACGCTTCTCAATCATAATGCTTAGCCGTCAACTAACTTTGCGGTAAATTTTAAGTTTACTATAGCCAGCACTATATGTGATTGTATCTCACCAAAGATTGTTATGATTGTCTCTCACCAAAGATTGCCATGGTTGTGTCTCACCAAAAATTGCCATGATCGTGCCTCACCAAAGATTGTCATGATTATCTCTCACCAAAGATTGCCATGATTGTGTCTCACCAAAAATTGCCATGATCGTGCCTCACCAAAGATTGTCATGATTATCTCTCACCAAAGATTGCCATGATTGTGTCTCACCAAAAATTGCCATGATCGTGTCTCACCAAAGATTGTCATGATTATCTCTCACCAAAGATTGTCATGATTGCCTGTCACCAATGTCACCAAAGATTGCCATGTTTTTGTCTCACCAAAGATACAAAAAAATAAGACAGCGAAAAGAAAGCATGACAAGACAACGTAATGATTATGCAAAATGATCTTACTAAAACTTTGCACAAGCACGATTTTAGCACGTCACTGAAAGTTCCATCACACGCTTCTGGCTATATCGATCCGTCTGATTTTTGATGGAGAGATGGAGAAAATCATATAAGGAACAAATCCCGACCTTACAAATTTTATTAACTCTATTACTTTTCGAGTTACAGCCATTCAAAGTTGAATATCTTTTTTTGGACACTCGGTATAGTCGCTCGCTGGTTCAAATAACTTTTTACTCGTTAAGTTTCAGGAAGTAATATTATAATGTATCACGAACTACAGTATAATGGAACAAATGAATGACGATGTTTAGAACCGTCGTAGAAAAAATTATTGATTGCTTCATTGGTTTTTGCCAGCCGAAATTTGCATGCTACTTTTTATAAATATAGTCATAGTATAGTATAGTATTTTCGGCATTAAATAAATAGGCATGGATAGGCCTGTCATGAATGGATTGGACTCGGCGTTGCCGATGGTTGTTATATCATTCAATTCTCTTGTACCCACGAGACGCTTTTTCTGAACTGCAGATAATTGATTGTGATGGGTAAATGATTCTTGCCTTTGAGGGTGCGATTTCAGCGTTAAATCTAAATCTAATCTCGGATGCACCAAATTTATGTCTTGAAACATATTTTTTGCTAATATAATGAATGATGAACCTCGATATGCTGTTATTACAATAAATTGCAAATACTGTAATTACAATTGGACTTGAGTAGTCTAGACTACTCAAGTCCAAAAAAAGTAAAATTTTCAAAGGATAAATACAAACACTCGATTTATAGGTCTCATTTACTTTACATATCTGTTATTTACACATACACACAACGCTTCACAATTTACACTTAGATTTTATTACATCTTATGTAACAAAATACATCAATTTTTGAACAGGTAAACAGTATAAAATTTTACATACCATCAGGATCATCGGAACTTTCATCAGAAATATGAAACACTCGCTACTTAGTAACCAGGCCCTGTGCTGCTACCTCAGAGCCACACGTTACTCTATGCACAGAACGTTTGTCTATGCACAGAACGTTTGTCTGTGCACAGAACGTTTGTCTATGCACAGAACGTTTGTCTATGCACAGAACGTTTGTCTATGCACAGAACGTTTGTCTATGCGCAGAATGTTTGTCTATACACAGAACGTTTGTCTATGCACTTCACGTTGGTCTATTCACAGAACGTTTGACTATGCACAGAACGCTTGTCTATGCACAGAACGTTTGTCTATGCACAGATCGCTTGTCTATGCACAGAACGTTTGTCTATGCACAAAAAGTTTGTCTATTCTCAGACTGGACAAAATCACAGAAAAGTTTCTCTACAGTTAAGCATAGTGGAATGGATTATAAAAATACTGGAAACTCAGACTTGAAGAAAAATTTTTATTTATACAATAATCGAGCATTTAATAAGTCCAGCTCGTTTCTGAGCAAGTAAGTAACTCATAGAATCACCATAAGTAACTCATAGAATGGCGTATTTATTTCTAGAAGAATCAAAAGCATGTTTAGAAGATTTTTCCTAAATATGTACATATTCTTCGACATGCTTAGAATTTATTTACTCATTGAATATTCAACAAAATATGGCACTATTATAATGAATAAGTTTAGCTAAGTTATTCGCAGTGATTGGAAAATTTTGCGTAAATATATGCTCATTCAGCGTAATTTTATAGCTCATGCACTGTGTTGCATGCACCATGTTACACGTATCACGTTACACGTACGGACATTAACTATTTATAACATTCGTGACGCACTTATTTGGATCAAAATCGTGCTGAAGTACGGCCACATTTGAATTAGTTTGACGCGGCCTGCACATGATAGTCCGTCGCAATTTAATCACAATTGTTGGACTGCTTGAGTGAATTATTCAGACCGTATATTCCCTGACCCCAATAACAATTTCTGAAACATTCCTCCCCTCGACATGCAATTTCAAAGAAGACTGCAGACCGTGCAATTGACAGCTCGCTATAAATGATGAGAAACCCGAACAAGGATAGCTTTGCTTTTTATAAAAGCAAGAACTTTAATTTCTTTTACGGTTCTCCGCTCCAAATAAGATGAAAAAATAAGAAATTGTGAGCGAGTTTGTTAAGAAACAGATTTTTATTTATTAGTAACACATATGTTTTGTAAGCACGCAAGGTTTGAAATCAAATGTTAGCCGAAACCGCTGATCGAATGAAGCTCAGTTCATAATGGCGCTATTGCTGCAAAATTGCCCTGAAAAATAACGAAATCTTAGCAATTTATAAATGGTTGTGCGTAGCGACTGAAAACTGAGTGCCAGTGTTAACAGAAAATCTAACATGTCTCTCAAAACTCTTTAAATTGTAAGAGCATGTTCATAAATTCAGGTAAAATAGTAATTGGTTTCAAATGTTCTACTTTTCTATTAATTTCCTTTAACGCAGTGTTAATGTTTAAACCTTGTACTCTCTAAAAGCCTGCCAGTAAATTCATCCCTAGCACACAAAATAAAAATGATTTTGCAAGAAATATAATTATAAAAACATCCCGCGTCCAATAAAATAATCAAGTCTTCGCACATGAAATGAAGAATTTCATGCTTGCAATAAAAAAATCTCCATGCATGCAATAAAAAATTATATTTTCATGCCTGCTGTAGAAAAACAAATCTTCTGATGACAATAAAATAAATTAAATCTTCAGTTGCCAGTCCAACTCGTTTAATTCTTTGTCCAACCCTCATAAAATACTTGTAATGTTTTCACATGAGGCTAAAGTTCTTCCAAGTTCAACACAGATTCAAGTTGTGCCTAAACTTTCTTTGTGTTCCTCAGCTCTCGACAAACTGAAGTCCATCCCGAACTTCTCGGTCGCATTTCCTCGAGCGACACAAGAGTTTAAAATACAGAGCAAAATTCCGGGCTGTGAATTAACGAACACTTGGGAAGGGAGACTGTGGCAATAAATGCATTAAGTCAACATCGCCGTCTGTTTTTTCACACAGCTCCTGGATGTGGCATTGTCAAATGTTTCAATAGCTTCTTTCTTGTCTCGAGCGAGCTTGTCTGCTTTAAGTTTTATTAAATTTATTTCATTTCCGAACAGACGGATTACAAGACTATAAATATATTTTTTGTTCGTCAGGATAAATGAGGAACAGCGCTCTATATGAGAGACATCATTGTCCGAAGTTTTAATCTTTTGACAATCGCGCTTTAGTAAAGTATATTGAAATGTATGAAATCAGTAACATTTATACCACGAATATTATAAATCTGTCGGATGAATGAAGAAAATGATGGAAGGCTTTGTGGGATTACACATATTATATCCGTGTAGCACATCTCACGACGAAATAAAAACTAGGTTTAATAATCCATTCAAAGTTAGAGCTAAATTGAAGTTAGTTAGCGCCGGTATTTCGGCCGTCGCCCGACACAATAGCTACAGGATTTTCCCCGAGACACTTGGTTTTTCGTTTGAATTATGAAATTAACTCATTAATATCAAGCAGGTAACAGTAATGCCGGAAACGATTATAATATTGTGAGGTGGTTCTAGCTGCTGGAAAACCATGTCTCAAATATAGTAGGTGTGCAATAGGATGATGTGGCTGATAGCAGCGAGTAGGAATACGTAGCGTAGGTGTATCCTGCTGTTGATAGACGTGTTGAAGCTGCTCTGCTGCACTGCGGCCTGCTGCTGGTCTGTAGAAACACACATATATACTCTGAACTTAATTCATATTTCGTTGACCTTAAATAAATTTATATCCGCAGCAAAGTCATTATTCATTCTTAAATTCGAAGTAACCGTTAAAATTCATTGTCACAGATAAATTAAAAAGATGATGTTAGTATTGATGATATTAGTCAAAAATAATTTTTAATTATTTTCCTAATTTTCATCCGAGTATCATTTCGTGGGATGCATTGCACAGGAAAAGGTCTTTGCCATAGATATGCTATGCACCGCCGAGATGAGAGAAGAGCTGTGGATTAAATTGTCAACTGCGGAAAGAATTTCGTTGGTTGATGAGATTGTCTCCTTTGAACTCGACTGAATACGAAAAAAAGAAAACTTTTTTAAATCCTTTAATTGTCAACAGTTAAATTTGAAACTTCGTAATGCTGAAACATTGTCGCGTAAATTGCACCATACTTCTGGCAAACTGAAAAATTGACTGTGCATTGCAGATGTTAAGTGACGTACGGCATATGGATCTTTGTCGGTACAATGAGGTAAACATCGCATTTTTGTAATTCAAATTTTCAACTCTGAGAAATTCCTTTAGAAGTTAAAATCTTTTGAATTATTACATGATTAAGCAATTAATGAATCGCGCAACACTAGCATCACGGATCAAGTTTTACTTAGATGTACTTTTTTTCAATGTGTACTTAGATGTTTTACTTAGATGTACTTAGATGTACTTAGATGTTAACTCACTAGCTTGCACGGGTCCAGGTTAACTCACCAGCCTGCACGGGTCCAGGTTAACTCACCAGCTTGCACGGGTCCAGGTTAACTCACCAGCCTGCACGTGTCTAGGTTAACTCACCAGCTTGCACGGGTCCAGGTCTGTCTCTTATACACATCTAGATGTGTATAAGAGACAGGNTTAACTCACCAGCCTGCACGTGTCCAGGTTAACTCACCAGCCTGCACGTGTCCAGGTTAACTCACCAGCCTGCACGTGTCCAGGTTAACTCACCAGCCTGCACGTGTACGGTGACAGAGGCCAGTCCCCCGGAGTGCGGACGGCAGGAGTAGCGGCCGCTGTCACCGGGCTGGACGGACGACAGCAGCAGCTTGCTTACCGTCCGCGTGGCGGTCTTCTCGGTCTACGGGGCAGCGAAAGAGAGGCTTAGTCTCAAAAATGTTTACGAGTTTGTTACATGTCAGCCAATCACTGACGACTCTTACAGTCAAACCCACCAATCACGGGCGCTACTTAGGCCGCTAAGTGTACTTTCAGTCCGCTACGGATACGTAGGCCGCTACTTGTACTTGTACATAGGCCGCTACGTGTACTTTGGCCGCTATGTGTACTTGTGGTGGTGAGGTGCTGATGTGTGCTAATGAAAGCCTCCCAATGTGTTGTGTGAATATTGCTGTGTAAATTGCACTGTATAGATAACAACGTTTTAATAGCAGTATATGAATTTAAGGTGCGCCTAAACGTGGACAATAGATCAAATTACTATCGCAGTAACTTTCTCAAACTTTCTAAATTGGCTGAGCTCAAAATATTTTCCAAACGAAGCTCGAATAATGAAAAAAAAAATATTATGAAAAAATTACGCCCGCAACTTTTTTATTTGCCGAGGCAAAATGGATTAATCGCCTCTCACGATCAGCCTAAACTCTCTTCATTTACCTGCATGAGATCACAAACCTGCTAACTAACATGACACTTTACTGACGTACATCATTGCATTTTCATTTGTGAGGATATTCATTCATGACGATATTTATCCGAATTAAAAGTGCGCCTCAATTGTGAAGTATGAATTCTAGGCTCGTGTCTGAATTTCATTTAAAATTACTAACGCAAACATTTCTCCGCTCGAACAGTGAAAGGAGAAAGACGTTGCCCAAATAGCGATTCACTTTTTACGAATACCCTTTTATGAGTCATCCTGACCCAGGTTGGCCTGAATAAAAAGTGTATCACTGCTACGTCAGCTCTATGTTCGTGCTGTGGGTGAGTCACTAGAGAAGGAAAAACAGCAAAGTGAGTAGTTATTTGGACATGGTGGCCCATTATGTTGTGAGTGCACGCATTTATTACCAGGCGTTACCTGTAAAGAGATGCCACCTCTGGGGCTGTCATAGTCGAGCTTGGTGCCGCCATGGTACCAGGTGACGTGTGCTGGTCCCCTCTGGTACTCGTGCTTGATGATACACGTCACGGCCAACACGCTGCCTAGCTGGATGAAGCGCTGGGCTGGTCCCTCCAGCTCCACTATCGTGCCTGTGCCACGACACGATGACGAAATTTACTAACTTATTGACGAGATTCGTTACACGATGACGATATTTACTAACTACCTGCGCCACGACACGATGACGAAATTTACTAACTTATTGACGAGATTCGTTACACGATGACGATATTTACTAACTTATTGACAAGATTTGTTACACGATGACGAAATTTACTAACTTATTGACAAGATTCGTTACACGATGACGAAATTTACTAACTTATTGACAAGATTCGTTACACGATGAAGAAATATAAACCTTTCCACTAATATTCAATGAGAAAAATTAATACATGTGTGTGGCATGACTCGATGAAAAATATTACACATTTATCATCTAATGTTAAGTACGGGTATGTGTCTTTACCCGTATTAAACCTGTGCTGTTTGAATACTGAAATTAAAATAACTCTCACATATTCATTCGGACATAATTTTTCAGGCTAATAAATGCGCTGCAAGCTGGCAACTATGAAAGTCTTGACGAATATAAAGTGACCGCATTTTTTCATATGAAAAATTCACATTGCAACATAAACATTAAACATTTGATTGTTAAATACGTAGAAAACTTCAGACCGCCGCACACGTGGGGGCTTTTAATGCTGTAATGCGGATTAAGTGAGAACAAGTTTTTTTAATTCCACAATATATAATACTGATGACTTTATACCGGGCACGAAAATTCAGTGACTTATTGACAAGATTCGTTGCACGATGGCGATATTTACTAACTTATTGACAAGATTCGTTGCACGATGGCGATATTTACTACCTTATTGACATGATTCGTTACACGAAGGCGATATTTACTAACTTATTGACAAGATTCTTTACACGATGACGAAATTTACTAACTTATTGACAAGATTCATTGCACAATGACTATTTACTAACTAATTGACAAGATTCGTTAAACGATGAAGAAATATGGAATTTTCCACTAAGGTTCAATGAGAAAAATTAATACCATGTGTGTGGACATTTATCATCTAATGTTATATAAACAAAATTATTAGGTAAAATCGAAAGCGGTAAGTCTAGTTGATGAACTCGTATTCTGTAATCAAAATAGAATTTACCAAGCTTTACACGTATTAAACCTGTGTTGCTTTAATACTGAAATTAAAATAACTGCTCACATATTCATTCGCACATAATTTTTCTGGCTAATAAATGCGCTGCAAGCTGTCAACTATGATAGTCTTGACGGATATAAAGTGACTGCATTTTATTCATAAGAAAAATTCACATTGCAGCATAAACATTGAACATTTCATTGTTAAATACGTAGAAAACTTCAGACCGCCGCACACGTGGGGGCTTTTAATGCTGTAATGTGGATTAAGTGAGAACAAGTTTTTTAATTCCACAATATATAATACTGATGACTTTATACCGGGCACGAAAATTCAGTGTTTACTCAATAGAAATAATGAACTACTGTCCAATTTTTTAAATAATAGTTTATCAAGTATCACTCAATGTCAAAAGTATTTGTTAGTTTCAATGTAATATCAAAAGTCAAAAGTGAAATAGTTTGATAAACTCCACGGAATGCATGAAGATTTACGATCCGTCCTGGTATGATTGATGTTCAAATTTAAGCTGGAGTTTAGAATCGACAATCCTTCAACTCTTTGAAAGGATCACAGTAATTTGTTTAAACTAAGGCAGTGGGATCGACGATAAGTGGAGGCGGTGTGAAATGTTATCGGGTGTGTGATGCAATAAGAATTATTGAGTCTCGATGGTGATTGATGATTGTGATTGGTGTGTGGCAGCGTCGCTTTAAAAGCCTCCTGCTAGGCTAGCGAACAGGAATTGTGGACAAGCTCATGATCGATGGGCTGTGGCCCATCCATTCAGATGTCCGGGCTTTCGTATTACTCTTCTTACTTTGTAATATTTCAATGAAATGTATTCTGCTGAATTTAGATGAAACACGTTCTTGAAAAGTTCAAATACGAGTGACGCCGGTGTTGTCTAAAAATATATACGGAATAAGAAATTTACTGTCTCATTTCCTTGGAACAAGGATCGTATGCAGCGAAAACGTTTGAGTTAGATTTGAACATGCATAATTTTTTGGTTATAATTCAGTGGTCGATAAGAAAATGAGTAGTTATCGATATCTTTTTAGTTCTCGTAACCTGGAGCACTTAAACATGACTGTTTTTTCGGTACCTAAAGAAATTATGAAACTTTCATTTTTGACCTCGTAATTACGAAACGGTTTGAAGCTATAATAAAATTTCACGAACAGAAAAATAAAGTTCTATGGATCAAGATTGCGTTTGATTTCTTTTAACCATCGTATTTTAGTACAAAAAAGATTGAGGAATTGGTGTCATACAAGATGGATCGCTAGTGGTAAAATAAGACGTTCATCACATCAAAGGCTATAGTCTCGGTCGGTGATTGTTTTTGTACCAAAACTTGCCCTCGTTAAAACTTAAAACCACAAACGTGATCATTTCTCTAATTACACTTCGAGTGTACGTGAATGAATGATGGAGCTTGTGATTTGATGCACTATTTGTTTGATTTAAAAATCCTCATCAGTTTTGAAATAAGATGGAATAAAAATCGGTTATGTAAGTTAAAGCCGTTATTATACGTGATATGCTACACATATAAGTACACCGATAATTGTCAAATTAAATTGTGCGCTACATATGTAGATTTAACCATTGTCGCTCGTATCACATGGTACACCTCACATGGAAATTTTTTAGCTTGTGACCGTCTATTTATGATTTTGTCAATGACAATGTTATCCTCATAAGCTTTAGCGTACTCTTGTTCTATCGCAGCCCATATACCCTCCAATGCCGCCTCCATGTGTCCTGGAGCGTCGCTCCTAGAAATTATTGTTTCGCAGAAAATAGTGCCATGCCATTCATCGTTAGTGACAGTGATCAGTAAGGTGAAAATTGTAATTACGATAAGCGTAAGGGAACTTGAGTCTGAGAAGAACCCCGTTCTACTGATGAATGAATGCATTTATCTCTTTTCGAGATTAAAAGACTTTTAGTCACAGGTTAATCACCCATGATGGGTTTCTGAGCACCTGAGTTTTTCTCTACCGTTAGCAACAACGTTCGCAGATTTCGCCCGTAGCTGCATGGGTTCAGTGGGGGCATAAAAAACGCGCTCTCACTTCAAAACGCTGTGCCGCGGATGAGCGTCCGTTTTTCCTGCGAGGGGACACGGTGCTTCCCCTCCTATGAATATAAATGAACTCTGTCTTCGCTTTCATTGCGCCCGTCGACACTACAGAATTCTTCGTGAACAAAATCTGAGCCTATATCGACGATATTACTCGGCATGGCCCTGAGCCTTAGCCGATAGTGCACTTCAAAATAAAAAAAATTATTAACATGAACTCATAAAACTTAATTCTACCTGATTCGATATGAATAACTTTCTTAAATGCGAATAACAATTCCCGTAATTTTAATTCACAAGAAGTACGTAATGCCGTGTCAAGTGAGCAATTCAAGTGTATATATACAGTTTTTTACTTCAGTCTCAAAAGCCCCGAGTTGACTTGTTCCTCTAATGGTAGCATCAGTTAGAGTGGGCAGTCGGGAGTATGGCGAGCATTGCTATGATGTCGGTAATTACGATGGGTGGGGCGTGTAGGTCGTTGACACCATTAACCTGTCCAATTACAGCCTTGCTAGCCGCTAGCCACTTCCATGATTACTGCCTCTACCTCCTGACACTAATGGCTATAAACAGCTGTTACTGATAGAGATATTGCAGATGCACTCCTGCAGTATAAGTGATTTACTCTTATTAGTTTGATAATATGATTAATAGTTTTGTATTAGTGTGTTATTGTTCAAACATAAATATGGGTTTTTAGTTCAATAATAACGAGAGTATTCGTTATAGTTTAAATTGTATCAGTCGTAATGCATAGGAAAAGCCGAATAAAAATTTAATTCCAAGTTAAATCTGACTTAAGTCACTTTGGAAGTTCAGTAGAATACTGCGTTTCGTATTCATATTTATATTCGTTATCCTGAAAATATGCGCTTAGCTGTGTTTACCAAATCGTTCCCGTGTAAGCTTTATTCCAAGTAATGGCCGCTTATGATTCGACTATAATTTTCAAGTCTTGATGACCACAACAACTGAACCTAAACAGCTTTTAGTTCCGAGAAGCTAAAGATACCTCAATATATGCATTTGATTTGACTTGTATAAAAATAGCATTATTCGACTTCACATTTATTTCCAGCAAACTTCTATTGTTGGAATTCAAAATGTTAACATTCCAATTCCTGGAAAGCAATTTTCAATTCGAATCTTTTCTACCTTTAAAACTTACAGGATTACTCATCACTCTGAAACGTGAGATTAGACTATCCCTTCTCACTGAATCAGGAGAGATTCAACTCTATACCTTCTTTCAACTCTATACCTTCCAAAGTTTCAACTATGTACTTTCTTACAATTTGTACATAGTCTCAACTTGAAACTTCCTCCCTAAATCGACATGCGTCAACACTTGTACTCACTGTTATCAGGCAGCGTGTCGACCTCATGCAGATAGAAGGGGTCGTCGACGTTCTTATCTGGAAAAGAGACAGAGAAATATTTCAATAAATTATACTGTAGTTTATTAAAGTTATACGAAACGCTGCAAAATCTGTGGTAATTGTTGTACTGCCGCATGGAGGCTGCAAGCTCCGACCACAGCAGCGAGTTATAAAATGAACGCAAATATTTATTGTCCCCACAAGGGCTTCTAAATTTTGTTATTATTATAGGCGCTCTATGAATAATAACGATCATGTGACTGCCTGCAAGTAAATTGAATTTATCGGAATTATCTCATCAATAACGACCATGCAAATGCGTCTGGCTTCCAATTAAGTAAGGATACATTCATAGTAATTCTCATTTACAACAATCGCTCAACTGTCACTAAGATAAACAAGTTCTCAACAACGACCTTATCAAAAACACTCATCAATAAAAATTTGCCTGGATGTGTGATTGAAAAAGTATAAATATTCTTGTCACTTGCAATCATGCGGCTTCATCTATTAGATCCATGTGCAGGTACGCAATAGTAGGAATAACGAAACTAATTATGAAGAGTCTGCCTGGTCGTGTTATCTTTGGACCAGAGTTGACCTGATCCTGGATATATACGGCATAATCTATTTTGCCCATAAGTTGGTAGGCAACCAAAAGAAAAAGTTACACAATATTAAGTAATCAGGTACGCAGTAGTAAGAACAACCTTACCGATAACGATGAGTCTGACATGTAGGTCGTGTTAACTTTGTACCAGCGTTGACCTGACCCAGGACATAGACGACATCATCTGTTTTGTCCACAACTTTAGAACAACCAAAATAAAAAAGATACACAACAGTAAGTAATCAGGTACGCAGTAGTAAGAACAACTTACCGATAACGATGAGTCTGACAGGTCGTGTTATCTTGGGGTCAGCGTTGACCTGACACTCGTACCACCCAGCGTCCGCCTTCTGCGCGAACTTGATGTGTAGCGTCCACTCATCGGTGCCCGGTGGGTGTAGCACCTTCACCACGATATAGTGTTAATTCTCATAATAATATCCCAATAAAATATTGTAAAATTTAATTTTACCCCGCCACATGTTCCGGAAGCAGCACTTGCACCACAACTTTATTTCCAAGCATAATTCTCGTAATAATATCATAATAAACAGTTCTTTCCAGTGTAACTTTATTATACTCCGCGATGCATTGAAACTCACACGTCCAAGTGATCCGAAAGCTGGTCGATGAGTGAAATTTTTACGCTTTTATGTAATAGCAAAACTAGCTTTGTCTTTCAGATTTGAACGTTACTCATTTATAGTATTACTTTTGTATGAGATAAATGTTCGATGATGCGATAGCATTTAAACAGTTCATCTTGTTCATATGTAAAATGCAGTAGGTTATTCATGTTTAATCGACACTTTCTTGCTAATGAGTGAATGGAGTTGAAGCTAGTCACACGAATTTCCATTGACGAGAAATAATGTCAGCTGATACTTTCAATGTGCAGCTGAGAATCCACCTTGAAAAACATGTCTAAGGCTTCAAATTAAAAAAAAAATTACCGTGAAATATTAATCTCGTACACGAATTTTACATCATCGTAGAACTTACGATCGTGAAAGCTGCCTCACGTCTCAAAAACTGAGCAACATTTGCAGCGACGCCTCGCTAAGATGAGCAGCTTCGTCTACGTCTGAGCTTAACGATGTGGCTTTGTATCGCTGCGGCCTAAGTGTGCTATTACCCCTGATATATTACCTTATTAAATAACACCCTATTACCTGCATCTAATATGATGCATTTCTTTAACCACCTGCCTCAATGCCCATGAAATTTTTCCGCTCGTTGATTCGTTTTAGCGGAATTAATTTAATGGCTGGCTGAAGGCGGCCTTGAATTACAATAAAAATTCAAAAATTTTATCCCATATACAGTTTCAACATATTAAATGCACAGCTGAGAGATCATCATCCTTTACATATCAGAAAAATAACTTATATCTTTTGAATATCAATTGACGGGAGTGGATGACGGAAAAATTGGATTTCCGCATCGAATATCCCATTGAAATATTGGTGTTAGTGACAGTAGCGGCCATTGCAGCGAACATTGCCGGCAATACGTTCCGGTTAACTGCTGCGTTACGCCATCCGCATCTCCAGCGCCCGCTCTGGATTAACTCATTCATCACTCAAGCATTGAATCCAAATCCCTCACACTACCAATCTCGATTTTTTATTAACAGCCGAGAATAATTGCTATATTAATTTTGAACACAACTGTATTGACAAGAACAAAACTCCCAATGACAGTAAGAGGCTCTGAATCACCCCAACACATAGTAGGTTATATGATTGTTACATTAATATGATCAATTTGTCGCGTGGTTTGATGGTAAAAAGTGTCAATAACGACAAATGAAATGGTAGCGCTATATTATTGGCTTTAAAGTTTCTTACACAGGATATACAACGGTACATGATGGTCAATTAGTCCCCGTTAATAAAATCATGCTGTTATCAAAGATTCACACCTGTTCACTCGGCAGCCATAATCTCGTTACACGCGGCGGTGGGTGAAACGTAACTGCATTAGCGAGCGCATGTTACACGATTTCGTTAAGGCTCGACTCCAAAAATCATTCTTTATTGTAGGGATGTAAATTCATTAGTTTTATTGTCTTGCATGGAGCAGGACCTTTTCAACGCCTGCGTCCATAGAAGATTCATTAAAGGAAAAACAATACTTCAGGTCATTGGTATAAAATCATGACAGTCATGCAATACATAGGTAATATTTTCGTAGAAAAATTTATTACTATATTCATAGGGAGATCTAAGCTTTGAAATATCTAGAGTAAGGGCTTTGTGTGCGTTAAAGTCACACTCATAAATAATAACAATAACTGACACCGAGCGAATTTTGTCAGACAAGTAGAATTTATTGTCAACTTCCCCCTCCTACCTTAGACAAGTAAGAGTGTGGAGATGAACAGTCGATTTTTCAATGTCGCTCAGTGTGAATGGAAAAGAAACGAGACATTTAAAGTAAAATTATAAGGATTTTAACAAAGATTTTGAGACTAATTAATGGATTTAAATCGCAAAAATGAAGTTAAATCTTCGGGTTCATCTTATAATAAAGAATTTATTTGAGTATTTGAGATAAGGAGTTACGTTTACTTACTCTGTATCTGTCGTCCGGTGAGTAAGTGAGTGTACCCGCTGATATGATGTGCAGTGTACGTTTTCTCATCCATGTTACCTGAAAAATATAACGAGTTTACTATTCATAATATTAATATAGAACTACTTAAATACGAATATAAACATTTTGACGAAGAATTGAGACAATTTACTTTTATCTAATTCACTTACTCCCACTCTGCAGCATTTGTTTCAATTTTATTTCGCATTTTCAATGCATGGAATTAGCATATTCAATATCATTGGATTTAGACCGTAGCTAATTTATTATCAGTCGGCGCACAAAGGATTTGCGTATCCAATGTTTCATGTTATTTCACAAGAATATTTATTATATTATGCATTCATGGTTTGTTCTCGAAATTTCGTGAGCAACAGCAACAAAATTATTCCATTATTAAAATAAGTGTAATATGTAAATCGTTATAAATAGTTTTTAATGCGGATTAGTTGACTGATGCATGTATCACTTTAGTTTGAAACAAGTCAGAAAATTAATTATTGTTTTTCTTGTCCCCTCAGGAAATCCTAAAGACTTTCTATCTAAATTCTAAAGTGTCACTATCTAATCAAGGAGGATTGAACTTGAGCATTATTTAGACGCAACTTTAAAAAGTAGTGCAATAATTTGCGGGTAATCAGATTTTTAACAAACGCATATCGTATGCAAGTGTGAACACTCACGTCCAAAGTGAGACGCTTAAAATGCAACTTAGGTCTGTAATTTTACAATTTTTATTCGACTAACTTTCCTTCACATTTAATCTTTGCATTTAATAAGACGCAACACTCCGAAATAATGTAATAACTTGCGGTCTTTCACTATAAAGTCAAAAATGCGTATCGTATCTAAATTTAATGGAAAGGCCGAACCAAACGTCGTTCGCTGAAATTGTAACAAACGCACATCATGTAAAAATTCAATTGCGAGGCTGATTCAAAATTCATGGTATCTAAATTATCTGGAAAACCCGAACCAAAAGTCGTTCGCTGAAATTGTAACAAACGCACATCATGTAAAAATTCAAATGCGAGGCCAATTCAAAATTCACTCACGGATCTGTCGCCGAGGTTAGCGACACGGCAGGGCAGGAAGGCGTGCTCGCCTTCCGTCACCGTCACGTTGCCGTCCGTCCGCATGAAGTGAGGCTCCGGATACCAGCTAGCCGGAGTGCCTGCCGGGCATCAGGGAGAACTAATGTAATTTTGAAGTGTAACTCAAGGAATCAGGGGGGAATCATTTATTAATTTAGGTAATTAAGAAGTGAGAACCAAGGTTTCGCTTTACCTAAATCAACTAGTTAGTTAGTTAATTAACTAATTAATTAAATTAACTAATTTGTTAATTTAGTTAATGAAGAAGTAGTACGGGGCGGAAATTTATTGTTATAGAAAATTAAGAAGTGTATTCCAAGGTATGTGAGAAAAAATTTATTAATCTAAATAATGAAGAAGTGGAGCCCAAGTAATCTGGAAGTAATTTATTAGTGTGGAGAAGTGAGTAGTGAAAAACGCGATACAATCAATGTCTTGGGGAAATCCTTCAATAAATAAGGATTGCGGAAGGGTGATTAATAATTAAGAGGAAGTATTAGAGGAGTGATTAAGTATTAGAGGAATAACTTAGTAATTTAGGTATCCTGAACGTGTGAGCAAATGTCGTCCTAGACAACCAAGGACGGGAAGTGTCACTTTGAGGTGTTATTATTATACGATTTTATTTGGAATATTAGATTTATCGTTGTTGAATAAACAGCATATTGATTACTCTGATTACTTGATTTTTCTCGTTCCTGTTGATACGGGAGCGGCTGGTAATTTAGGACATCCGGCGATGAACGCTAGAAAACGTATTGCAAAACGTTAAAATTCAATGTGGACTTGCACATAGTATAAATACCATAAATTAGTTCTATCTGAAACGCTAGAATGCTCAAGACGTTCATCACATTCATTTACTGCGCTGTGAACAATTGACAATAATAATAATGAAAGGAAAATGAACTTAGATACTTTCGCCCCTATTACAAAATGGCTCATACTAATAACTTAATTCATACAATCTTGAGCTGGTCAATTAATTAACGGTTTCAAAAGAACTTCAATTTTATGCCCTGAAGACCTTCTTTAGCTGACTTTTCATCATGATATCCCAAATTTTCCGGTTAAGTTTCTAGGTTGATGAGTTCGTTGGCAAGTTGCGGACAGAGATTGCAACCGCCTGCAGTCCGGCTCGAACTTTTGGTGACATTCTCTCGCTGCTTCCAAGTTCGTATCCCGACGCAACATAATCCGTAAAGCTAAGTTTAATATGTATGACTTCTGCTGTCAACATGAATTGCGCTGGCAAGATTATTTTGATTGTTTTTAATTGTAGTGTAAATGAAATCAGAGAACCATAAATGTTTCAATTCATGAGAATTTATTATGAATGTAGTTCACAATATCTCGAGGAGTTCTTCTAAGTTTGAGAATAAAGGCTAAAACTAAAAAAGTTGCATAAAACATTTTTACTGAATAGAAGTCGTAGATAAACAAAAATTATGATTAATTATTATTATGATTATTATTAATTATTATTATGATTAATGATTATGATATTATGATGTTAATTATGATATTTATCATCGCACAGAGGTTCGAAAGAAGTAGTGAACATATTTTAAAAATGCTACTTCATCAGTCAAAATTTTTTTAGAACATTTTAGTGAATGCTGCGTGAACAATCTGTTACTGATAATAATTGACAAAATCTATGTCATATATATACATGGATACAGTTGAAATAAATTCCATGCATGTCTATTGGTATACCTAAAATCTTTGTGATTGTTCTTATTTGTTACAGCAAAATCAATAATAGGCCATTAGGTTGAATGTGAAAACCAGCCACATTCAAAAATACGTGATATCGACAATGTTTCATCCATTATTCACATTTTAGACATTCTAAAATTTGCAGCTTCTAAATATAACTCCCATCATTACTTTGATGTGCGATGCGTTAGTAATTAATGATTTACAGCGCTCCGCTAGATGTGCTATAATCGTCAGCTCAACCCATGCATAAAAAGTGCAAAACAATTTATTTTTCGTTGACGGCAAATAACTAAAGCTGTGCGACAATCAATTAGCTGAGATTAGTTGTGTTCACTTCTTTGTTTACAAATGTTTTTATTAGCTTTATTTTTTTCCTGATGAAGACTCGTCTAATTTACCTGTGAGTAAAGACGCGCGATTTACCCAAGACTCAATCTAATGGCACTCAAACAAACGTTTGCGGAAGAATAAGTTTTTTGCGATGTTCTAGTCACTCTTTGTTATTTAATCATATGAGTTACTGAAAAGACCATGAAAAATATTTAAACTGTCGGAAGGATTTGATGACGGCGGGCAATATTACTTCATAATTTCTGCACGGAAAATTTTATTGTGAGACTGATTTTTACGTAGAATGGCGAGGTATTTTTTTACGACAGATGGCAAGAAAACTTTATTTACACGAATTTGAGAAAAAAATTAAATAGATGAACTAAAACTTTAGAATAAGACAAATAATTTATAATTTAGCTATGTAATTAAAATATTAATTATTTGTTCCAGGAATACAAATTTTCGCCCTATACTACTAATTTTGATTCATTCGTAAACAATTTAGATGGATTTAGATTCAAGCACAAATTAATCACGTTTTCATATTTTTTACGTCAGTTAAGATACTTGCGTTAATAGAAAAATAGCTACAAAAACAGCCCCAATTTAACGCACTAAATGCTCATCACTTTTACAAGCGCAAAAATCGTTTTTCTTCAACGGCAGCGTCTCAATGAACTTCAATTGAGATAAAGAAATCGTCGCCAAAGTTTGACCTGAAAGTTTTCTTCTTTGCCAAACCTCAGAAGCTTCCAATAATTTTACCGAGTTTGTGACGCGAGAATTTCAGAGCAGCGAAGCCTTCGCGACATTCCATCACCACCGCTCGCTCAGATCTCGTGTCTGAGTCGCGGTGAGCAATAAAAAACATGCGTCAACTTTTTGGCAACGTAATATAGAATTTCAGCTTGCCCGATATCTCTGGGCAAAAGTAGGAACAGAGTTCTCGAATTTCCGATAAATCTTGTAGCCCTAAACCTCGGACGCGACGGGGCTAAAAATGCAGCCGCGGTGCTTGTAATTGGACGGCCGCGGTCGAGAACGCTCGCAGAAACAAATACGGGTCGAAGAATTCTAGTGACGACATAGAAATTTGGCGCTTATACTACTGCGCTATTGCGTCGTGTGACGCTGCAAAACTGTTGTACCGATTAGGGCGGTGCAATAGCTTTGTGTGCGCGCTGTAAGTATACACGTGTGCGTCGTGCATGCCTCAATTATAAAGTGCCTTTGCAAATAATAATGTAATTTGACTACTGTAATTTGTAATCAATCGTAAGACTACGCAAGATTGTTTTTTCAATGGCCTCATTCAAACGTCGTAAAAATTACGGATACTTATTCCATATATAAAACCATTTTATATGCTTTGATAGCATCAGGGTGACATTAGCGAGGGGCTGGCGACCAACAAGGGGAAAAGAGGGCGGAGTACAGCCCATTTGTAGAGGGTGAAATGGAGGGTAGCGACAGGCTCGTCGTCGATGCCACACAGAAATTAGAGACTTAATCAAAACATTGATGCACATTTGCGCCAGTGTGGGTCACTCTAAGCAGCTTTGGCGCGGCTGGAAGATGTATCCGTGCTACGTTCGTTTTCTGCTTGTGTTTGTTGCTAAAAAAGTGTGTGACAATTTGAACAATATGACCTGCTCAATTTTGTGAGTGTAGGCCTCGGGAGGGCCTGCCAAGGCGAGGCACTAAAAACTATTGCCAGGCTCGGGGTGACATCTGTTAGCTTCTTGTTTTTGGGGTCAAAAGATGTGATTCGTGTGAAATAAATTGAAAACTTTAAAATAAAATTGTTATCCTTAACTAACTTCTTAACGAGCGTCCAACTACCCAATATATAACTCCTTATTTACTTTTTCTTTCTTCAAAATCTTGGGACGAATTTGCAATAGATAAATGGTAGAGCAACGCACGATATTTATACTATATATTAAGATTCCATCATCTTAAATTCATTATTGAAATGCACACATTTGTCAAATAATATTTTGAGCATTATACCTCAAGAAGATCAAGCGGTTCAAATTCTGTGCTCCGCTTCCTTATGGATTTTTTAGATCCCATACAAAAGATGCAAATTGCGGCCTGGTGATGAAAGAAGCGTTTTAAGCCTAATTATTGTGATACCTCGTCATAATAGCTTCCCCTCACCCCACCCACCACAACAATAACACCAAACGTAGGAATCTTGTTTAGACAGCCGTTGCTATGGTTATGCATCGTGTTAAGTTCAAAGAAATAACACAGAAGTGTTAGTTTGGGGAATGTATGAAGCATTGACACCATCCATCTCATAGCGGCGCATATGACGTCAAATAGCGCGCCTCAACGAAGCGTCTGAACTTGCCGTAAAACTTTTAATCGGTGCGTGATGGAAGGAGAATGTCAGAACAACTTCAGACGTCACGCTCGATGCAAGTTACTAAAATGAGGTTGCCATAGGTTACTTAAGGAAAATTAAAACATTTCTAATGTACTAGACATAATACGTATTTCTCTGTGAAATCGTTCATTATTTTCACGTTGAATTGAGTGATATTTCGTGTTAGATGATAAAAAATATCCTACTCGCATCTGCCTCACAAAATCCTTTGTTTTTATAAATCATTTGTGTCATGGAGTTAGATTAAATCCCCCAGATTATATTGGATTGCGAGTGCTTCGTTCAAGTACTTCTTTGAATTCTCTATTATTAAATTCATGTGACTGCAAAAATTCACATGAATTTTTCATGAAAAATTCTATTAAAATTCATGCGATTGCAAGATTTAAGAATGACTTTAAAAAATGAAAGATATAATCTAATATTGAAATTAAAGACATATTTTAACATGATTCATAAGAATCAAACAATTATCGCACTAAACCATCACTTTTTCTGAGCAATATGTATTTGCCAATTAAGTGTCTTTGTTTTGCATCGAATTTGTTAGAGGCCGCACGAGATAGACGTGAGATAGAGTGTCTCAATATGACTCATGAGATCATATTGATCCATACTGTCTTCAAT